TTAGCACGCAATACGAGTTCCCCGAGATGCGACGTGTTGTCCAGGTGCTAGGCCAGAGTGGGGGTGGGGTGGTGAACAGGGGGGGTAGAGCATCACAAGGCCCGGAGGGGCTAGTGGTAGGGGGCCAGGAGGGTGTGGTGAGCATGGTAGAGGTACCCGTTACTGAGGGTCGAGGACCTGCTGGCAGTGGGTGCGCCAGCGGTTCTCCAGACAGTGGGGTTTACGGAGGATCGGTCGCCATTGACATCTTGGAGGGGAATACGATGGAGCCAAGCGCGGACGATGATGGGTTGGATTTCCGATTTTCGGATGTAGCAGAGCTGTGGGGATATGATCCCCACCCGGAGCATGGCGTTCGACCATGCTCAGTGCAGTCGTTCATGATCTTACATGCTTCAGCTTCATCTCACAGTGCGGCCGCGCGAGATGATACGACCTGTGCATCCGCTTCGAGGAACACATATTCTGGTTCAGGTAATGCAGAGCGAACGTTCAATTCGTTGTGATTGTCTTATTCGACATGATGTCCACGTGACCATTTCCTTTGTCATATTCCTGTCACTAAATGACCTCCCAAATGTGCATATTATCTGCATGCATATTATCTGCATCTATCAACATCCACCATGATGATGCAGGGGCTGGAGGTGGACCAAGTTCATCCAGTAAAACCCTGCGATGGGTGGAAAAGGGAACTCGGGGCAGGAAACGAGGAGTGGAGTCACGTGATGCGGAGGAGGTGGAGGAGTGCGAGGGCGTGATCAGGGAGGTGACTGTCGCGCAGCGATTTAGCATCCACTTTCATCACGTGATGGCTCGCTGTGCCGCGCTATTCAAGGAAGGGCGATCAATGACGGCAAAAGAGGTCGCATACGAGATTGGACTTGCTGCTGATCATTGGGCTGGTGACCACTCACGTTGTGCCCGCCAAGGATCCCCCCTTCCTAGATGTGTCAGGGATAATTGGGGATTAGAGAGTGCAGTGTACGCACCAGGCTCAGATACTCACATAGCGTTCAAGGCTTGGTTGGCGGAAAATTGTGGGCCAGAGGAGATGGCAGCATATGTCCATGGAGCTGGCAATTGGATGAATGAGTCATTTCATTCATTAATTTGCAAGTATGCACCCAAACGCATACTATTTCATGGAAGCATGAAAGCACGTGTGGGGCTTGCTATCATGCATTGGAACAACTCACTGGAGAGGGAGGTGCGTGCTACAAAAATAAGGATCCAGCGAGCAACACGAGTGCGTCGTGGGAAGACCAGCCGTGTTTTGGGGCCCATGAACTGGAGTGTTATAGTCACAGTAGGCTCCAATATGCCTAAAACGAAAGATAGAGTGCACAGCCGGATTTCTGCACAGCGACTTCAAACGTTCATAGCGTTCTGGTCACAGCTTTAAATGACTTGATTCAACTTGGATCTGGAGCGTCTTATTGTCGCCTACAATAGGCAATTTAGATCGCACGATTTTACCAAGTATTGAGGACACAACGTCAGTTTGAACGAACGGCACTATGGCAGCCACTATAGTCTTAGAACACAAGATAGGAAGAGTTGGGAAGAGTTACGAGTTGGGAATGACTCCCAGCTCCTACAAACCCCAAGAGCTGAGGTACAGTGATGTGGAACAGTGCCACACTGTCCCCAACCACGAAGGGTCTCGAAACTACCCTTCACTAGGGCCTACACCAAGTGAAATATTACACTACACAAAGTAATGTAACTATCTTCAATATCTTGAGGTGTACCCTTTTGGCGAGCTTCGAAATCACTTGAGGCTTGACACCAAGGCTCGGGCTCTTCATCACAAACTCATCCTTGAGTTCTTGATGGGTCTGCTGCACACACCTGCGACACGCCGAACGTTCGACACAGGACAAAATAGAAACCGCGCACGACAAAATAGAAACCGCGCGCGAGACACAAACGACCGCGTAACACGCGTCTAGCGATAACTCGCTATTGACTCGACACACACACTCGACATCATGACTCAACATTCACACACAATTATAAGCATGAAATATATATTATCTCATGCCCTCATACCATTCCATACACACACACATGCACGCACACGGACAACAAGCCGAGTGCAAACCGTAGGGTTGCACCAACATGGAGCTGGGTTGATGACATCATGAAGGATTGGGAGTGCATGAAAGGTGACGGCATGGATGAGGATGTTGAAGTTGACATTGTGGTTTCAGCTCCACACACCCCTCAACCTCCGTCCAAGCGGAGTCGAACTTTGTCCAACCGGCCAACGATAACTCCACGGCCTTTATTTGGTACGTCCCATCGGAATAAACATGCTTCATCTGGTGATTTGTTGCTGATTAAAATATGAACACTACCATACATCTAACACCTTTGTTGCGTTCTGCCCCTTGGTCCATGCAGGTGATCTTAGCAATGTCGCATGAGCATATTGGTGCCACCAAGGAAAAACAGCAACCATTTGATTAGGGTTGGCTTTTCCGCCCCCCAAAGTATGTATTTTATGTTATCCCTAATAATGTTACTTCGTTTCCCCCCCTTGAAATGTGTCTTCCCACATAGAGCACCGTTCGTTTCCCACCTTTTACATTATGTTTTCTCCCGCAGGCCTTACCATGCCGTTCCCCCCTCTTGCATTTGTTTTTTCCCCTTACCACATCACATTGGCCCCCCCTCCAACATCCTGTCTCGACTCTTAGCACACCATCCCGTTCCCCCCTCTTATTGTTTTTTTCCCCGTTCGCACACCTTTCCATTCCCCCCACTGCAGGACTTCCTTCCCCCCACTGCCTAACCTCCTTTCCCCTCACTCCCTGTCTTCATTCCCCCCACTGCAGGACTTCCTTCCCCCCACTGCCTAACCTCCTTTCCCCTCACTCCCTGTCTTCATTCCCCCCACTGCAGGACTTCCTTCCCCCCACTGCCTAACCTCCTTTCCCCTCACTCCCTGTCTTCATTCCCCCCACTGCAGGACTTCCTTCCCCCCACGGCCTAACCTCCTTTCCCCTCACTCCCTGTCTTCATTCCCCCCACTGCAGGACTTCCTTCCCCCCACTGCCTAACCTCCTTTCCCCTCACTCCCTGTCTTCATTCCCCCCCACTGTAGGGCTTTGTTCCCCCCAACGACTGGCCTCCTTTTCCTTCACTATCGGGCTTCCTTCGCACCCACTGCATTCGCTTCCACGACTGTGTAGCCCCGTAACGGTATGCTGAAAATGTCTGCGTTTTCTTTGTTTACTTTTCCAGATCATTTGTACATAACAGTTCCACATGTCTAGTTGCATGGGGTCCTACGTTCTGTTAGCACCTTGACTCGATTCGCTTCTGTGACCTGCATAAAACCCCTCTTGGCATATTCATATATTTTGATTGACTATGCGTCCCTCCCCTTCCTTGCTTCCCCTTGACTGCTTTCCGTTTCACCTCCTGCATTCCCCCCTCCATACCATTTGCAGGACCCTGTGATGTTATTATACAACATATCGTTGGCATGGCGGGATTGTTGGCACTATGCTACCGTAATAAGGTCAATGACGGCAAGAGTGGTCGCATACGAGATTGGACTTGCCGTTTTCATTTTATGAATTACTCAGGGTGCGCTTATTTAGCAACTAACATGCACACGGGTCTACAAATTAGACATACGGTATTCGTACAGTGAACGACACTAAGTGCTACCCTCAATACCAAGCAACCCATTAGCACTAGCACAATCAAAGTCGATGCGAGTGGGCAACCCTCGGATTGCATTGAACCACGCCACATCATCCGCACCACATCCAACATACAACCCGCCTTGAGGCTCGGGGTATATTGTTGCAATAACCACATAGATCAACCATGGCAGCTCAACTTGATCACCTGAGTCATCACCCAACAAGTCCGAATAACAGACATAACAACGGAAGCGGTGGTTTTTCGGATACAACTCCTCCTCATTTGCACCAACACTCATGTTTGCACCGCAACAGACACGAATGATGTTCTCGACGGTACGCTCGGTGGCGAAGCGACCCACTGTGGACTCGCTAGGGAACCCCAACCACGCTGAGCCCCACTTGCCCAACACCTCACACTGTTTTGGAAACCGCCTTGCAAATTCAGCGATCGTCCAGCAGTACAATGGCGTCCTAATCACTGGTGGTAGGCCAGATCGAACTCGGGCCCGTCTAGTGATCTTAGGTGTGGAGAAGTTCGAGAGACTGCTTGTCTGAGACTCCACGCTCGAAGTCACTGGACGCGGATCGGATAGACTCTGCGGAACCGTTTCTTCCTCGTCATCCTCACATACTAGCCTAATGGGATCTGGCCGACGACGCATGAGCGCACGAGAGCGTGGCCTGCCACACAACGGGAACCAAAGGACACGTTTTTTATGCAATATTACTCACAAGCATACCCCTGCCAAGTAGTTGCATAGCTAATCCCTAAACTGGCATGCAAAGCGAGCTTTCTGCACAAGATATTTACCGTATTGGTCCGCCAGATCGGGTCTTCCTCGATAAGCAGTTGGAATTCTCGTGACCGTTCGTCATTGTTCTTCCGTGAGCGTTCCAGTCCGGGAGAGAACGGAGGCGGTGTCGCGATTTTTGGCTGAGATTGAACAGAGGGAAGAGTGAAAGCCCATGTATGGCCAAAAGGACAGCGGTGGAAGGGAGAGAGTGCAGGCCCATTGGCATGGAAGTGAGGGGATGGAGGGCAGGTAAGCGTGAAGGGGGATGGCCAAAAGGATAGTGGTGGGAGGGAGAGAGGCGGGTATTAGTGGGAGAGGGGACTAGGAGATATCCATGGATGTTGCAGCATATGGGTGGCGATAATTACGTTCGGGGAGAGCATGCGAAATAAAGTGTGAGATAAATGGGTGAAAGATGAGGGGTAGGGGGATAAACCCTGAACCAGCACATGGGGGAATATGGTGTTTGGGGAATGAGGATGGGGGGGGAAGAAGCAAGGAAGGGAAGCAAGAGGTCCCGTGATTACGGGAGAGAGGGGCGTTATGAAGACTGCTGATACAAGTGTCTACGTGCAATATGCTGTAGTTTTCTTGGGAAAGAGGGGCGGGAGGGAGCGAAAGGGGGGATAAAGAGAGGCACAGAAACACCGAAAGGAAATTCCTGGGAGTAATGCAGATAGGGGAAAGGGTAGAGAAGGAAGTAAGCACGAGAGGGGAGAGGGGGTTGAGAAGGAAAGTGAGCACGAGAGGGGAAAGGGTAGAGAAGGGAGTAATGCAGAGAGGGGTAAGGGTGGAGAGGGGAGTAAGCACGAGAGGGGAAAGGGTAGAGAAGGAAATAAGCACGAGAGGGGTAAGGGTAGAGAAGGGAGTAAGGCAGAGAGGGGTAAGGGTGGAGAGGGGAGTAAGGCAGAGAGGGGTAAGGGTGGAGAGGGGAGTAAGGCAGAGAGGGGTAAGGGTGGAGAGGGGAGTAAGGCAGAGAGGGGTAAGGGTGGAGAGGGGAGTAAGGCAGACCCTGGTAAGGGTGGAGAGGGGAGTAAGGCAGAGCCAGAAGGGTAGATAAGGGAGGAAGGTTTCAAGGGAGTAAGGTAGAGAGAGGAGCATAGGTAGAGAGGGGACAGGGTACAGTTCAGAGTATTGCAGAGAGGAGAAAGGGTTGAGAAAGGAGTAAGGCAAAGAAAGAGATGTGGTAGGGTGAGCGGGGGGAGATGGAAGGCTGAGGGGAGGACGAGATTGGAGAGGTGAACGAAGAGAGTGAGGCAGAGATGGAGGTACACAGACATGAATAAGCGACATTTGAAAGGGGTGCGTTTTGAGAACAGGAGGGGGTGGGGGTGGGGAGGGGTGGGTGGGGTGGGATGGGGCGCACGATATGGGGAGAGAGAGAACACAGGAGGAACCCGACACCCCCCCCCCCCCCCCCCCCCCCTCCTCTCCCCCTCTCGCTGCTATTTCCTCCCCTTCCCCCCCCCCTCCTCGCAGTGCTGCCATGCGCCGTCCCGCTGCTTTTTCCCCTCCCTTCGCCCCCCCCCCCCCCCAGCCACCCGCCATCTCCATGCTAAGCAAGTGGCGACTCACATCTCGACTGGGGTGGTTGAGAGAGGGTTGCTTGCCTGTGGACAGGGAGGGAGGTGAGGGGAGGGAGGGAAGGTAAGCATGAGGGGCAGGGCGGGCCAAGAGGATAGCAAGGGGGGCGAATAAGGGACAGAGGGGGGAGGAAGCGTGTCGAATGGGGAGAAGCGCGCAGATGGGAGAGGCTAGAACGGGAGTGAGGGGAAGGAGGGAGCTATGGGGGGGATATGGCAGAGATGAGGGATAAGATTGAGGGACGATGAGTGGCGGAATTGAGTGAAGGGGGGCGGATACGAGTGATGGGATGCGCAAGCGACCGAAGGGAGGCGATAATGAGTGAAGGGAGGCGGAAATGAGTGAAGGGAGGCGGAAATGAGTGAAGGGAGGCGGAAATGAGTGAAGGGAGGCGGAAATGAGTGAAGGGAGGCGGAAATGAGTGAAGGGAGGCGGAAATGAGTGAAGGGAGGCGGAAATGAGTGAAGGGAGGCGGAAATGAGTGAAGGGAGGCGGAAATGAGTGAAGGGAGGCGGAAATGAGTGAAGGGAGGCGGAAATGAGTGAAGGGAGGCGGCAATGAGTGAAGGGAGGCGGAATTGAGTGAAAGGAGGCGGAAACGAGTGATGGGAGGCGGAAACGAGTGAAGGGAGGCGGAAATGAGTGAAGGGAGGCGGAATTGAGTGAAGGGAGGCGGAATAGAGTGAAGGGAGGCGGTACTGAGTGAAGGGATGCGGAAATGAGTGAAGGGAGGCCTCAATGAGTGATGGGTGGCGGAAACGAGTGAAGGGAGGCGGACATGAGTGTAGGGAGGCGGACACGAGTGTAGGGAGGCGCTAATGACTGAAGGGATGCGATAACAAGTGAAGGAGGCGGAAATGAATGAAGGGAGACATACATGAGTGAAGGGAGGCGGAATTGAGTGATGGGAGGATCAAATGTGTGATGGGAGAAGGACACGATTGAAGGGAGGCGGAAAGGAGTGATGGGTGGCGGAATTGAGTGAAGGGAGGCGGAAACGAGTATACGGAGCCGGAAACTTGTGAAGGGACTCCGAAACGAGTGATGGGACGCGAATTCGAGTTACGGGAGGCGAAAACGAATGACGGGAGGCGAAAACGAGTGATGGGAGGCGAAAACGAGTGATGGGAGGCGAAAACGAGTGATGGGAGGCGAAAACGAGTGGTTTGCGGCGCAAACGAGTGATGGGAGGCGGAATCGAGTGGAGGGTGGCGGAAAGCAGCGAGGAGAGGCTCCAACGAGTCATTGGAGGCGGAAACGAGTGATGGGGGGAGGGTACAATGAAGGGAGGGGGAAATGAGTGATGGGATGCGGAAATCACTCGGAGTGATGGGATGCGGAAATGTGTGCTTGGAGGCGGAAGTGAGTTATGGGTGGCGGCGGACGAGAGTGCTGGGAGAGGCGTGGGAGAACGGATTAGCTTTTTCTACCGTTGGCGATATTGCGAGGTGGGTTTACAGCAGGCAGAGAGGCGTCCGAAAACGGTAACTCAAAGCGGCGTGGTTTTCATGCAGCGAGAGGTGTTCAATCGGCCGACGTACAGATCCGGTTTCTGGTCGGACATGGGCGAGAAACCGGGACGTCGCGCATCCTCAACATAAACCGAAATCGTGCGCATATCGTGTGGAGAGATGTGACATAAACCGACATCGTGCGCATATCGATACGGGCGTTCAACATTGAGGGAAAACGGACCTCCAGACGCGTGAGGTACGGGCGGGTATAAGCGTAGAATACTGTTGTGTCTTGCCGCGTGGAGCCTGACCCTAAACCGGACGTCACGATACCTCGAGACCCTGAGGCGAGGGATATGCAAGGCGTGTGGCGATGCTGAGTGTGTGTTCTGAAGTGTAGGAACACGGCGCGACGATGCGGTGGAAAGGGTCGCTTAGGAGGGGGAGTATCAGCGCGCCTGGAAAATAGCTGTGTACTCTGCTATGTCGGGCTGCCTACTATTATGGACTAGTCAAACCTAACACCTGCATGCGATGGGAAGCGATTGAGTTCACTTTTGTTCAAAGGTTTTTATTGTCAATAGCAGCGGGGAGATGCCAAGTCAGTCGCGCAAGTTCTCCCCCTGCCGTTTGGCCCCCAACTCCCGCAACGCAGGGTACATGGTTACCAGGCGTTCAAAAAAAAAACTTCTGAACCCAAACCTGCCAAAAGTGCACCGTCGCTTTAAAGCCCAAGACCTGAATTACTCAACGGAAGTCAACGCTAAAAACTAGGTTCGGGAGGCAGGCACGGAGAGGTTCGGTTGGGTTGCGAGAGATTTTCACTCGCGAAACCAATTTGCGACAAAAGTTTCTCGCTTCCCATGATGGTTGGTGCCCTTCCCACAACCAGAAAAGCGCGAGCTTATCAAACTGTGCACAGTTTGGGATAGCACGCAGAGTATTAGGCATAGACCATACCTGTAGACAGGGCAGGGCGTCGGCGTTCACTCAAAAGGGAGTAGATGCGCCATATGATTTGGGTGGCGCGGATTTGCAATGATGACGCGCAAAGCTAGTTTGCGCTGGGTGAAGATTATTGTGTCGAAATGCAGGTTATTGTGCAACTACTCCGTAGCGTAAACTCGTGGCGAAAATCGAATCGCAACCGTTCGCCCAAACGTGACCCTCCCCTCGCCCTCGCTTTCCTTTCCCACGCTTCCGCTCTCTTTCGCCCGCGTCGTCGCCATCGCTTCCGCAGCTCGTCGCGTGCGCGTCGCCTTCGCTCCGCCCGTCGCCTTCACTTCTCCCCCGTCGCCTTCACTTCTCCCCCGTCGCCTTCACTCCCCCCCCTCTTCCGTTGCCTTCATTTCCCCCTCCCGTCGCCTTCACTTCCCCCTCCCGTCGCCTTCACTTCCCCCTCCCGTCGCCTTCAATTCCCCCTCCCGTCGCCTTCATTTCCCCCTCCCGTCGCCTTCATTTCCCCCTCCCGTCGGCTTCATTCCCCCCTCCCGTCGCCTTCACTTCCCCCTCCCGTCGCCTTCACTTCCCCCTCCCGTCGCCTTCACTTCCCCCTCCCGTCACACTCGCTTCCCCACCCGTCACCTTCACTTCCCCTCCCATTGCCTTTCACTCTCTCCTGCTCAATCTCTTTCCCCCTGCTCACTCTCTTCTCCCCTGCTCACTCTCTTTCCCCCTGCTCACTCTCTTCCCCCCTGCTCACTCTCTTCCCCCCTGCTCACTCGCTTCCCCCCTCCTCAATCTCTTCCCCCCTGCTCACTCTCTTCCCACTCTCTTCCCCCCTGCTCACTCTCTTCCCCCCTGCTCACTCTCTTCCCCCCTGCTCACTCTCTTCCCCCGTGCTCACTCGCTTCCCCCCTCCTCAATCTCTTTCCCCCTGCTCACTCGCTTCCCCCCTCCTCATTCTCTTTCCCTCTGCTCACTATCCTTGTTCTAACCCCACTTTCCCCATTTCTCACCCATTTTCCCCCTTTACGCTCTCTTACCCCCTCTGCTCGCCCCTGTTTTCCCAACTCACGCCTATACTCACTCTCTCCCCCCCTGCTCACTCTCTTCCCCCCCTGCTCACTCTCTTTCCCCTTGCTCACTCTCTTTCCCCCCTTCTCACTCTCTTTCCCCCTTCACGCTCTCTTTCCCTCCCTTCCGCCCGTTGCCCCCCTTCGTCTCGCGCTCGTCCCCTCGCAATCCCCGTCTCTCTCTCCCCCCGTCGCCCTCGTTTTCCCCGTCGCCCTCCCTTCCACTCCTCGTTGCCCTCGCCATCCCTCCCTTCTCCCTTCCCATCTCGCACACTTGTCACGCCCCCTTTCCAACCCGCACATACACCCTTCCCTTCTTCCCTGTTTCCTCGTATCCCCTGCGCTGCTTCCCCCCATCCTCCGACTTGCTCCCCCCATCCCCTTCCCTGCTTCCCCCCAACCCCTTCCCTGCTCCCCCCCATCCCCTTCCCTGCTTTCCCCCTTCCCCTTCCCTGCTTCCCCCCGTCCCCCTCCCTCCTTCCCCCGTCCCCCTCCCAGCATCCCCCCATCCGCTTCCCTGCTCACCCCCATCCCCTTCCCTGCTCCCCCCCATCCCCTTCCCTGCTTCCCCCTATCTCCTTCCCTGCTTCCCCCTATCGCCTTCCCTGCTCACCCCTGCTCCCTCTGTTTCACCCTTGCTCCCTCCCCTTCTTCTCTGCTCACTCTCTTCCCCCTTGCTCACTCTCTTTACTTCTGCTCACTCTGTTCCCCCCTGCTTCCTCTCTTCCCCTCTGTTCAATCTGTCCCCCGCTGCTTCTTCTCTTCCCCTCTGCTCATTCCGTTTACTGTCTTTCCCCCTTCACTCACCCCCATACCCCCCAATGCAGTTACAGGTGCTCAGCACCAGATGTGGCTTTACCACGGCCTGGTTTATTGCTTGCAGTGTAGCAGACAAAACCGGAAAACAACATTACACATACACCCCCTAGCTTTGTTCCCTTCTCGAGTCTGGTGATTCCCGTTACTTTACAGATACGGTAATATATTAATTGTTGAACTCCTTGGTATTGGTCATGTGTATGATTGCTCTGAGGCTCATAATCCTGAATTATAAAAAAAGAATCCAATATATGGCATGGCTATACGTGTGTTACTATCAGACAGCTAGCACATGCACAACCAGATGCAGAGCAGACCTGTCCAAACACAAATCAAGAAGTCAGATGTGACGTGGCTGAAGTATAAGGGAATGACAACTGGCAAATGAGGAAGGGAGGAACGGAGGAAGGGAGGAAGTGAGGAATGCAGGAATGAAGGAAGGGAGGAAGTGATGATGGGAGGAAGGGAGGTAGGGAGGACGCTTGGGGGAGAAGCAGAAGGGAGGGGAGGAAGAGAGGCTGGGGAGGAGGGTGGGGAGGAGGGTGGGGAGGAGGGTGGGGAGGAGGGTGAGGAGGAGGGTGGGGAGGAGGCTGGGGAGGAGGGTGGGGAGGAGGCTGGGGAGGAGGCTGGGGTGGGGCGGAATGGGGTGGGCCAGAAAGGGGTGGGGCGGAATGGAGTGGGGCAGAAAGGGGTGGGGCGGAATGGGGTGGGGCGGGGCGGAATGGGGTGAGGCGGATTGGGGAGATGAGGGATGGGGAGATGAGGGATGAGGAGATGAGGGATGGGGAGGTGTGGGATGGGGAGGAGAGGGCTGGGGAGGAGAGGGATGGGGAGGTGAGGGATGAGGAGGTGAGGGATGGGGAGATGAGGGAAGGGGAGATGAGGAATGGGGAGATGAGGAATGGGGAGATGAGGGAAGGGGTAATGAATGAACGTGTATGCGACGGAAGGGTGCTGCTGACCACGCACCCTCCCACACCCCACGCGATGGGAAGGGATGAGAGGGTGGGCGGCATGGGTAGAGAAGCGATGGTGAATAGGGGGAACGTGATGGGCAGGGGAGTGATGACGACGTGGAGAGAGGAGGAGAGAAAGGAGGTCGGCGGGAAGGCTAAGCGAGGACGATGGGAGGGCAAGCGTGGGCGACAGTGGCGGTGGGCGACGGTGGCGGTGGGCGACGGTGGCGGTGGGCGACGGTGGGGAGAAGCGTGGGCGACGGTGGGGGGAAGCGTGGGCGACAGTGGGGGGAAGCGTGGGCGACGGTGGGGGGAAGCGTGGGCGACGGTGGGGGGAAGCGTGGGTGACGGTGGGGGGAAGCGTGGGCGACGGTGGGGGGAAGCGGGGGCGACGGTGGGGGGAAGCGTGGGTGACGGTGGAGGGAAGCGTGGGCGACGGTGGGGGGAAGCGTGGGTGACGGTGGGGGGAAGCGTGGGCGACGGTGGGGGGAAGCGTGGGCGACGGTGGGGAAAGCGTGGGTGACGGTGCTCCGAAGCGTGGGCGACGGTGGGAGGAATCGTGGGCGATGAGAGGGGAAACGTGAGGGAAGGTGGGGAAAGGTGTGAGCGACGGTGTGGGGGAAGGCCGGAGGAAGCGTGAGCGGCGATAAGGGGAAGCGTGAGCGACTGTGGGGGAAAGCTTGGGCGACGGTGGGAAGAGTGGGCGTGTGCGTGGGGAGGTGTGTGAGAGACGGTGGGGAGAAGCGTGGGGGACGCGGAAGGCGATAGGTCCAAATGCGATGTTTGGGAAAGAGCTAGGAATAAAAGTGAAAATGCTCATGGCCTAAGCTGTAGTGGCGTTTTATTCTATCTCTTCGCATACTCTAATCGCTTCGCGTACTATGGAAATCACACGACCTGAATTACCGAAGAAGGCAAACTGTGCACATTTTGAGCCCTTGTTCCTTCAGGAGGGTGTGGTTGGGACTCTCGCCAACCAAACCTGTTCTGCTCTACGACTCTCTGTTTCTTGGCGCAATGTTTTCTGGTAACCAGCCTGGCTCGGGAGGTCAACTGTGGGTTCGGTAGGCAAACTGTGCACAGTTTGCCTTCCTTTTTTTGTAATTCAGGTCTTGGGCTTTAAGCGACCAAGTGAGCAAGAATCGTCGGATCGTTTTTTCACTTAACGGATCTAGGGATCAGATCAATCGAGTGGACGTTGTCGAATGGCGGGAAACGCAAACGACAACTCGAAATGGAACACACCGACTCGAGCGGGTTTCGCGGTAGATGCTCAGCCAATGGAATTGGAGCAAGCCCAGCCCTTAGAAGGCTGTGGGGTGGGATGGAGTCGGGGTTGGATGTGCTTCCCTGCTCTTTCTGCCTTCTGGGGAGAACCTCACAGGTTGGAGGCAGCGTGTGGGTAAGGAAGGGCTGTTGAGGATATAGCGAAGTGGGTTAACGAGCTCATTCGTTGAAAGGGCGAACTAGGCGAAACCGTCTGTAGTAACAGGGCTTCTTGCCCAACCAGACTGGATGTGGGTCCAGGCAGATACGAACGTGGTAAATCTGACCTGGACGTCCTGGAGCTTTGCTTCAGTGTCGATACCAGACCTGACAGGGGGTAGCGAACCGTAGGATCTGCCACGAGGAGCGCTGTGATTGGGAAGGCGCTGCCCGATGATCTGAACTAGACTGAGTGATGTCGTGAGGGTGATGCCAGCAGAGTTTCGCTGCCCTGGTGGCAAGATTCCTCAGCATTCGCCTTATACTCATAACAGCTGATGAGTGAAAAAGTCAAGCAGCACTTTAGTCGGTGGAAGTCACGCGGGATTGCACATCCATGTAAAAATCATACACAAAAGACTTCCATTCCAACCCACCTAAAAACGAAGTGTGTAAGGGCTTACAAATCATTAGGCACTCTTTAGCGAGGCCATCCCGAGGGTCACGCGACGAACCTGTTTGGCATATTTCGTCGGCCGAACCACTCCCGAGTCGGCCTCCGCTCCAATCGCAACCATCACCGAGCCATCTTCGCCCTACCTCTTTGCCTAGCTAGGACTTCCCCTATTTAGGCCTCGTCGCTTTGTGTGTTCATTCAGTAATTCTGTTGTCAACCATTCTCGTTATTCGTTTTACTGCGCTCTCTGCAAGATCATTCATAACAAAGTGGCATCTCACATGTGATTGACATACACATATACTGCACCTAAAAACCCCAAGACAGATTTCACGCGCGGTTCCTTCATGGCAAGAAGCAGTGATTCTGAATCTTGACATTTTCAATTGGAATTGTGCAAAGTTATGCAGGGGCTCTAGAAAGAGCTGAGCCTCACACTGACCCACACAAAAGCCAAAAGCTGAAAAGCCAATAATAGTAAATGGCTGAAGCAGGCCACTGGAGTAAACCATATGGGTACTTGCTTACTAAATACATCCAATGGACAATGGACATTTAAACACCAACAAAACCGAAAGTCCTGCGTGGCATTCCTTGCAGCATCCCACTGTGTCTCTACACCCCGGTTGCAGTAGCTTAGGCAGCCCCCTGGTGATTTAGGCAGCTCAGGCAGATCAGGCACTTCAACTCAAACCCGTTCAGGCAGATCAGAAAGCAGGCAGCTCAGGTGGTTTCGGCGGTGTGAGCGGTTTCATTCATCTGAGCTGAGCGGTTTAAGCAGGAACCTTGGAGGCGATCTTCTCCTTGGACTTGTGCAGCTCGAGCACCTTCTTCACCATCTTCTGCTCCTATACCCGGAACGCACGGATGATTCTGTTGTGGCCATGCGTGAAGGAACAATGCAAAGAGACAAGGTACGGTTAGGGTTAGGAAGTGAATCAGAAACCACTTCTTGACCATCTTCTACTCCTCTACCAGGAACGCACAGATGATTCTGTGGACGGGGAGCAGAGCAGAGCAGCAAGGGAGAGGGAGGGAGGAGTAGGGACGTGCGGGGGAAAAGGGGGAAACGAGGGGTGAACGAAGGAGGGGCATGTGGGGAGATGGGGGGTCAGCTGATGGGGGTTGGGAGGAGGAGAGGGGCATGGATGGGGGGGGGGGAGAATGAGGGGTGAGCAGATGGGAGGAATTGAGGGGAAAATGGCGGGTAAAAACGGAAGGTGGATGGAGGGGGGATGAAGAGCGAATGAGCGAGGAGACATAAATCGCAGTGAGATGAGGGGAGAGGGGAGAAATGGGGTGAGAGCGGGGAGATGAGGGGAGAGGGGGGAGATGAGTGGAGAGCGAGGAGATGAGGGGAGAACGAGGGAGGGGGGGGGGGTGGTGAGCAGAAAACGGGGGAATGGGGGACGAGCTAGAAGAGGAAGGAGCGGGGGGGAGGATGGGGAGAAGGCGCGGGAAGGAGAAGGGGGAAACATGGGGAAGGGGAGAAAGCACAGGGAAGTCAGAATCCCAGCCACTAACCACTGGGATAAAAGAGCTTGTTAAGTAGCGGATGAGTGCGCCCATAACCCCCCAGGCTAACGTGCCTGTAACCCTTCCCTAGGATCAATCGGGGATCACCAGTAAACCTCTGACAGGGGGAAACACGGGGAAGGGGAGAAAGCACGGGAAAGGGGAGAAAGCAGGGAAAAGGGGGAATCACGGGGATGGGGGAAATACGGGGATGGGAAGAAAGCAAGGGGAAGGGGGAAACACGGGATGGGGAGAAACACGAGGAAGGAGGCAACACGGGGATGGGGAGAAAGCACGTGGCCGGTCCCCCACGTCGCCTCTCACCAGTCTATTGCCACGCACCGCAAAGGGGGACGGGGGGAATTTGCGGAAAGGGGCTCCAAGAGGTGCCTCAGACTAACCGCCCGCTTCCCCAGCGGCGCCTCTCGCTGCGGGAAAAGGGGCCGTTCCGCTACGTCGCTCCTCGCCAGTCCATCACCCTCTCATCCCCCTCCCAACCACCCCTTCTTCCTCTCTTCTTCTTCCAGCCTTGACAACAATGGTGTGTGTGGAGTGTTTCAAACCCTGTCAAGCACTTTAGATCTGTGTAGGTATTGGATCCGCTCGTACAGCGTATTCCAATTGGGCCGCCACAATATGTCTGCTGATCGAATTTCCCTCCTAAATCATGCTGGTCTCCGCCGTCATGGCTGGGGAAATTCGTTGGCCCATATAAGGGTCCGTTCCTGGCTCGTGTCAAACTTCCCGTCTTCCCGGGAAGACCCGAAGGTTTAGGTCAAACTTCCTGTCAAACTTCGTGTCTTCAGAAAACAGAAGTTGGTTTCGGATGACCCAAAGTAGGGCCAGCTTCGTGCCATCCCCGGAAGACCGGAAGTTTGACACGAGCCAGGAACGCACCCTAACGCACTATCTGAACCGTACTGACTAATCCGCAAACAACCGCAAACATGTCGTGCCTGCGCTGCGCTGCCCGCGCGCGCCCTACCTTGCCTGCGCTGCGCTGCCCGCGCGCGCCTCTGCCTTGCCTGCGCGCGGTGTCCTAGTCCCGAGCGTGCCGCCTACTCCTGTCCCGCGAGCCGCCTTAGGAGACCGCGCGCGGCCCGCTGCTGCCCCGCACGCCGCCTTAGGAACCCGCGCGCCGCCTTAGGAGCCCGCGCGCGGCTTGCTGCTGCCCCGCGCGCCGCGTCCGCCGCCCGCGCAACCAGCTGCAGCCCCGCACGCTGCGTCAGCCACCCACGCAGCCCGCTGCAGCCCCGCGCTCCGCGTCCGCCGTCCGCGCAGCCCGCTGCTGCCCCGCGCGCCGCGTCAGCCGCCCGCTCAGCCCGCTGCAGTCCCGCGCGCCGCGTCCGCCGCCAGCGCAGCGCGCTGCAGCCCCGCGCGCCGCGTCCGCCGCCCGCGCAGCCCGCTGCTGCCCCGCGCGCCGCGTCCGCCGCCCGCGCAGCCCGCTGTTGCCCAGCGCGCCGCGTCCGCCGCCCTAGCACGGCCCGCTTCTGCCGCGCGCTGCCTTACCCGCCCGCGCGCTGCGTCAGCAGCTTGCGCGCGCCTCGCCGCTGCCCTACGCGCCGCCCTTGCCACGTGCGTGCCGCCCCAGTAGCTTGTGCACTGCCGTTGCCGCCCTGTACGCTGTTTCTCCTGTCTGTGCTCTGCCTTGCCGCCTACGCGCTACTCTTACCTGCGCTGCACTCATGGCGACTCTCAATGTCCTCGCTTTCGATCCTGACGGTCGCCTGATAGAGTTTGCCACTTGGCTCGACGACCTGCAACTGTTTCTTCTGACTGATGCCAAAGACGGAGTTTCACTGTTCGATTACGTGACTGGCACTGCCGTTGCTCCTGCTGACACTGCTGCCGCTCTTGACCGCTCACAGTGGCAGACTCGTGATGCAGCTGCGCGCCTCGCTATTCGCAACCATCTGCCGATCACTGAGCGCGCGCACTTTAGTCAGCACAAGACTGCTAAGGCACTGTATGAGGCTGTAGTTGCCCGCTACTCTTCCCCAGCCACTGCAGCTGTAGGTCGTCTCATGCTACCCTACCTGTTGCCCGACTTGTCCTCGTTTACCACCGCTGAGGACCTCATCTCTCACCTCCGTGCTAGTGACGCTCGCTTTTGTGCCGCCCTTTCAGACGAGTTCCTCGCCGAGAATCACCCCCCGATGTACTTTACTCTCTACTTCCTCATCACCCGCCTCCCTGACACTCTTCGCTCAGTCAGGGACCACTTTCTCGCCCTAGACCTGACCACTATCACTGTTGCCGACTTTGAGACGCACCTCCTAGCAGCTAAAAAGAACATTCTCGCTGTAAGTGCTGCTCGTGGCACTCCTCGCACTCCCCTCTTTGAGGGGTGCTCCCCCTCCCCTCTTGCCCCCTCCTACGCCTCTACTGCAGCTGCTCTCGACTACCTTGGTGCTGAGGAGGTCGGGGCTGCTTCCGCTCCTAGTGGGAAGCGCCACAGCGCCAGGGGATGCAGGGGTGGCAAGGGAGGTGGAGGTGGTGGTGGAGGGGGCGGTGGTGGAGGCGGCGGGGGTGGTGGAGGTGGTGGGGGTGGTCGTGGGGGTGGAGGTGGTGGTGGGGGCGGCGGGGGTACCGGGGGCAATGGAGGTGGCAGCGGCGGGAGTGGGGGAGGAGGGAGCGGTGGTGGCAGTGGTGGTGGGAGCTGGAGTGGAGCTGGCCAGAAGGGGAGCTCCAGTGGTGGCCAGGGACAGCAGCAGCAGCAGGGTTAGAGTCAGACCCCCACGCCTCAGCAGCTTCATGACTGGTACGCTCAGCGTGGGGCGTCTAGGGGTCCTGTTCGGTGCACCTATACCATTCGCACAGGTCCTCGCGCTGGTCGCCCATGCAACGGCTTTCACACGGAGTACCGCTGCTTCTCTCGACTCAGCGACGCCTGGCGCGTCAAGTTTCCTGAGGCTACTGATTTTCCCCCTTGGGCTGATCTGCTTAGGCGTGATGTTCCCATCTTTGATCTTGACTATGATGCTATTCTTGCTGCCATGTATGCATTGACTGTTAGTGCTGAGGGTGACTGCTACTTGTGTGTACCGCCTGACCCAGGTATAGCCCCAGGTATCGAGCCTGCAGCCCTTGGTGCTTGTGAGTCTGTTCTCCCTGGTACTGCGTTGGCTCAGGCCTTGCACACCTTTACACTTGACTCTGGTGCTTCCCGCTGTTTCTTTCGCAACAGTACCACAGCCACTCCCCTCCCTGGACCTGTCCCAGTCTCACTGACTGACCCCTCTGGGGGCCCAGTGCTTGCACGGTCAACCACTGTGCTTCCGTGCCCGGCGGTCCCGTCTGGTGAGCTATCTGGTCTCTACCTCCCCTCGTTCTCTACGAACCTGGTGAGCAACGCCGTCCTTCAGGATCACTGGGTTGACACCTTTACTCCTCGAGGACAGCGTGTGGCGATCTGCACGTGCTCTCGGACAGGCCGCCACATGGCCACGTTCACATGTGCGCCTGGGTCCAGTCTGTACACCCTCACCACTGCGTCGCACTCCACCCCTTTGTCTCCTCAGTTGTACGCGTCCGCTCAGGTAGCTACCCAGTGTGAGTGTCGCCGCCTGTCGCACCAGACTCTCCTTTGGCACCACCGCCTTGGTCACCCCTCCTTGCCTCGCCTTCGTGGCATGCACTCTCGCCTCCTGGTCTCTGGTCTTCCCAGGTCTCTCCCCTCCCTCCCTCCCTCGCCTGTGCCGCCCTGCATTCCTTGCGTCGAGGGGCGGCAGCGCGCCGCTCCTCACTCCTCCTCGTTCCCTCCCACAGAGGCTCCACTGCAGACTCTCCACTTGGACGTGTGGGGCCCAGCCCGCGTCCGTGGACACGGCCACGAGCGGTACTTCCTGCTGGTAGTCGACGACTACACGCGTTATACCACGGTCCTCCCCTTGCAGCGCAAGGGGGATGTCCCTGCTGTTTTGATCCCTTGGATCCGCGCTGTTCGTCTCTAGCTCCGCGAGCGGTTCGAGTCGGACTTTCCTGTCCTTCGTCTGCACTCTGACAGAGGTGGTGAGTTCTCCTCTGACCTCTTGCGAGCCTACTGTGAGGAGCACGGCATCCGCCAGACGTTCACGCTCCCAGCCTCTTCGCAGCAGAATGGGGTTGCTGAGCGCCGCATTGGCTTAGTCATGGAGGTCGCTCGTACCTCCATGATCCATGCGGCCGCCCCCCATTTTCTGTGGCCGTTTGCGGTCTGGTACGCCGCGCATCAGCTCAACCTCTGGCCCCGTGTCTCCGTTCCGGAGACTTCGCCCACACTACGTTGGACGGGGGAGGTTGGCGATGCGTCGCGGTTCCGGGTCTGGGGTGCTTGTGCCTTTGACCGCGATACCACTGCGGATAAGCTCTCCCCTCGCGCCATTCCCTGCGTCTTCCTTGGTTTCCCCCCTGACGCGCCTGGCTGGCAGTTTTACGACCCTGCCTCGCGCCGTGTCTTTGCGTCTCAGGACGTCACCTTGGACGAGTCGGTCCCCTTTTACTGTCTGTTTCCCTACCGCACTGCAGCTCTCCCCCCCCCGCTGCTCTTCCTCGCTCCAAGTCCTCCCCAGGTAGACCCCCTCCCCGCTCCCGAATCCTGCTCCTTCAGGTGTGTCTCAGGTAGACCCTTCTCCCTTGACTGAGCCGGTTGAGGTCACAGGTAACTCAGGTCCTGCTGGGGGTGGTCCTGCTCAGGGTGCTGCTTGGGGAGTTCTGGGGGTACTGAGCCTGGGGTGCGGAGCCTGGGGGTGCTAAGCTTGGGGGTGCGGAGCATTGGGGTGCTGAGCCTGGGGGTGCGGAGCTTGTGGGTGCTGAGCCTGTGGGTGCAGAGCTTGGGGGTGTTGAGCCTGAGGGTGCGGAGCCTGGAGGTGCTGAGCCTGGGCGTGCGGAGTCTGGGGGTGCTGAGCCTGAGGGTACTGGGTCTGAGGGTGCTGCGCCTGGGGGTACTGAGGCGCCTGGTGAGCAGTCTCCTTGGAGCGGCCGCCTCCGTAGTCGCTCTGCTGGTGCCTCGCCGCAGCGCTCTCGTAGTCGTGTCCCGCTCTCCCCACAGCAGCTGCGCGAGTGGTACGTTAGCCGTCAGGGTCGCGCTGCTGGAGCTGGGGGTCCTGCTGCGGGAGGCGCTGGGGCTGATGGTACTGCTGGACCTGGAGGTGCTGCTGTAGACTCTGAGGTTGGAGACCCTGGAGCTGGAGGTGCGTGTTCTGGGGGTGCTACTGTTAGAGACACTGAAGCTAGAGACCCTGGGACTGGAGGTGCCGGTTCTGGGGGTGCTGCTGCTGGTGGTGCTGGTCCTGGTGGTGCTGTTGCTGGAGGTTCTGGAGCTGCTAGAGGTACTAGTCCTGGAGGTGCTGGCGCTGGAGGTTCTGGAGCTGCAGGAGGTGCTGGAGCCACTGGTGCTGGTGGCACTGCACAGCCGCGACTGCTCTTTGCTCCGCCGTCGCCTTCATCTCTGCCACCACCTGACTCCGTGCTTCGCCAGGTTCTTAGCCTCCCGTCTTCTACTAGTCTTCCGTTACAGCCTGTCTCACCGCTGCCTGCTCCTTCTCCTTACACTGAGCAGACAGGAGGTCTTACTGAGCGTCGTGAGCCTGCGTCTCGACCTGTCTCGCCTGTTCGCACTGTCCGCGCTGGTCGTACTGGTCGTCGTGTTCCTCGTGAGCGTCCGCCGGCTGTCCCCGTTACACACCTCATGGCCCTGCGTCCTTCCTCTGCTCCGCAGCGTGTTCCCCTGCCGTCCCCTCCTGCGTCTTCCCTGCCTGCCGTTCCAGACCCTGAGTTTGACAGCGCTCGTGATGCTCACCCTACTGTCACGCGTCTGCTAACCACTGTTGTCACTGACCCACCGTTTGAGTCTGCTGCTGCGTCTGCCTTAGTCGCTGAGCTTGTTGACTTTGCTGCTGCCTGTCGTCTAGACTACGCCGCTAGTCTTGTTGCTGAGTCTGAGTCTGTCTGTCCTCCGTCCGTCGGGCGTGAGTGTGCTCTTGGCACGGACGTCCTTGAGGACAGGCACGAGGACCTTGAGTGTCTTGCAGCCGCTGCGCCTCATCTCGTGTCCATGCTGCTTGCCCCTGAGGGAGACCCGGATGCTCCAGACATCCCAACCCCGCGCTCTTACGCTGAGGCGATCACGGGTGAGTACTCCTCTCAGTGGCAGACAGCCATGGACGCAGAGATGGCATCATGGAAGTCCACAGGCACTTACGTTGACGAGGTTCCCCCTCCTGGGGCGAACATCGTCAGTGGCATGTGGATTTTCAGGGTGAAGCGGCCGCCAGGTTCTCCGGCTGTCTTCAAGGCTCGTTACGTTGCTCGAGGTTTCAGTCAGCGAGAGGGAGTTGACTTCTTCCAGACCTTCTCCCCCACCCCGAAGATGACCACTCTTCGAGTGTTGCTGCACGTTGCCGCTCAGCGTGACTACGAGCTTCACTCTCTTGACTTCAGCACTGCTTTCTTGCAGGGCAGCCTGCACGAGGAGATCTGGCTGCGCCGCCCGCCTGGCTTCACTGGGTCGTTCCCTCATGGTACCCAGTGGAGCCTCTGGCGGCCGGTCTATAGTCTCCGTCAGGCGCCACGTGAGTGGCACGACACACTGAGGACGACACTTGCGGCTCTTGGGTTTGCTCCGTCGACTGCTGACCCGTCGCTGTTTCTGCGCACCGACACTTCACTGCCGCCGTTCTACATCCTCGTGTACGTCGACGACTTGGTCTTTGCCACTGCTGACACTGAGGCTCTCGCCCTGGTGAAGTCGGAGCTGCAGAAGAGACACACGTGCACAGACCTGGGTGAGCTGCGCACTACCTTGGCTTGCAGATCACCTGGGACAGAGCACGCCGCACCATCACTCTTCATAAAGACCTGTCCATGAACTCATGTCTGCCATTGCACGGAATAATTGCGACGAAATTTGAAAAAGGCAATAATTATCCCAAATTTCCTTCAACAAGGAGAAGAGCCGTGGGAAGGGTGGACTGTGGTTTCGTCGCCTGCTTGACGCGGAATGATTTTTTATTGGTCTTTTGCAGCCGCGTGATGCGGAGCGAGCTTCGGTTGAGCCTGTGGCTGGCCGCATATCACGGTGGAAAAAGGTCCACTACACGCAGCAACAGAACACTTCTCGTATACATTTATCTCTTTAAAACAAATGGTGCATTAGATTTGACACAAAACAAAACGCTTGAAGATATGTACAGAAATAAGATATTTGGTACCGGATTGAGATTTTAGGTGACCTTGGAGTCCTAATCAAGGCTAATTTTATCAGTGTAAATCACCCTGATACCCTGATTATCATGGTGGTTTTTGGTAGTCACACTTGTTGGGAACAAACAATCTTAAGCGCCTCTGTCGTGTCGAAACACCAAGGCACAAGCGAAGCAGAGCATATCGAGGCACCAGCGAGTCAACCCTCGGAGGTTGAAGTAACCGCTGGAGGTTACGCGAAAGTCAAAGGTCAGCGACCTTTGACTTGACAAATGCAGCGCGACAGCAAGGACACACAACTGACTCGACATTGAGCAGTTGCCCGAGTCGCACTGTATCGAACCGCAACAGTAAAACAGTTTAATTATATCTCTTCGTATTCTTTGTACTCTTATATAAACCTTTGTACTTGCTTGTTTTAATCAACTTACTTTGCCCTCACATACCAGCGCAAGGTGGTTCAAGGACTTCATTTAAACGCTTCCGCTACTACATCACTCTACCCAGAGTTTAACCCTACCAAAGATCCTAAGGGGCACTCAGC